TTTGCATCAATTCTCTGGGGTACGGGGGTTTTGGATACTTTCGATTCAATTTCCCTGCTTCCTCTTTGTACTATAGCGACCTTTTTTCCCTTTTTTTCCCCTCAAACCCCGCCGGTCCTCACCTCTATTCCCACTCACCGACACCATTCGTCTCAACTACGCATCGCGCGTGAGATAGCTGTCTGTCGCAAATTGACTTTGCCAGAGCTATCTTTTATAATCAACCAGACATAATGGCCCAATCCAATGGAGAGTTGGAGCACTCGAAAGGTCCGCCCGCTCCTCGAAGCCTTCCCCGACCCGGTCACACGATACATCGGATCGCAGCATACAACGTGGCCGACCGTAATTCAGGATGCAATTTTCTAACTATCTTATAGAGGTTCCCCCGACTTCCCAGGAACAGACCAATGGCGACCACCCCGAGGGTGTGGAGGATGATAATGCTGGTGGTATGTGGGACAATTGGAGACGAACCGATGCTGTGGTTTTCTAACTCGTGTCAAGGCCTTTTCCAGATTTCCGTGAATCTGCCTCATGACCCTTACCAGATTCAGGTCACGGTAAGTGTTTCTCCGCTAGGAGTTGATGCAAATTGACGTCTGACACCGTTGTTTTTTCTTCTTTTTCTGTAGGTGTCCAGCCAAGAACAGGTTCAAGATGTCCGCCAATCTATCGTCGAGCTGCCTGGCACCTTCCAGTACACATGCTTCCACCTCGAATTCAACGGAACTCGCATCAACGACTTCATTGAGCTGTCCGAGGTGCCGGGCCTGCAAGCGGATTCCGAAATCACTCTGGTGGAGGATCCCTACACCGAGAAGGAGGCCCGCATGCATGTTGTGCGATTGAGGGAGCTTGTCGGTGCGGCGGGCGACCGGGTGGACACCCTTCATGGTATCTCTGCCGGCCTCTCGCTGCACGACGATGTCTCCGCTGAGGCTGCCCTTGCAGCCGAGTCGGAGAAGGACCACTCGCTGCTCAAGTACAACCTGACTGGACCCTCATCGCTGCAGACCATTTTGCCCAAGCCCGAATCGCCTCTGCCGAAGACTGTCAAGTCTATCTCGTTGTCAGCATGGAACCCGGTGCCCTACCACCTCCGTCAGAAGGGCCACCTGCTCTACCTCCAGGTCCTCACCAACGAGGGCGAACAGTTCCAGATTACTGCGCACGTGTCGGGATTCTTCGTCAACAAGAACTCCAACACCCGATTCGATCCTTTCCCTAAGCCCATGCCCAAGGGAATCAAGGGCAGCGCTCACTCTCTTCTTACTTTGATCTCCCAGCTATCCGCCTCTTTCAATACCTCCTTCGAGGCCCTCCAGGAGTCCAACAACCTGAAGGACCTCCTGACCACCTTCCCCTTCCAGAACGCCATCCCCAACAGCCCATGGCTGGTCGCCCCGGTGACATCGAGTCAGAACGCTCACCAACCCGACCTTACCCGCTCTCAAGAGAGTTACCTGATCTCTGGCGTGGACAACGCCGAGACCCTGCGTGACTGGAACGAGGAGTTCCAAACTACCCGCGAGCTGCCTCGCGAGACTGTCCAGGACCGTGTCTTCCGCGAGCGTCTGACCTCGAAGCTGTTTGCTGATTATAATGAGGCTGCTGCCCGTGGTGCCGTTCTGGTTGCTCGTGGCGAGGTTGCTCCTCTGAACCCTACCGAAGCCCGCGAGGCTCAGATCTTCGTCTACAACAACATCTTCTACTCCTTCGGTGCTGACGGTGTTGGTACTTTCACCTCCGAGGGTGGCGACGAGGCCGCCCGCGTTGCTGTTGGCAAGGATGTTCTGGGTATCAAGGCCGTGAACCAGCTCGATATTCAGGGCCTGTTCACCCCTGGTACCATTGTTGTTGACTACCTTGGCAAGCGTATTGTTGGACAGAGTATCGTCCCTGGTATTTTCAAGCAGCGTGAGCCGGGTGAGCACCAGATCGATTATGGTGGTGTTGAGGGCAAGGAGGTCGTGGCTACACACCCTGACTTCAAGCCCGTTTTCGAGAAGCTTTCCAAAGCTCTTCGGGTTAAGCAACACCCCGTTTGGGATAAGGATGGCAAGCGTCATGACCTCGAGGGCAGTGTTGAGACCAAGGGTCTTTTGGGCACTGATGGACGCAAGTATGTCCTCGATCTTTACCGCGTGGCCCCCATGGACGCCACCTGGCAAGAGGAAGACGGCAGCGATGTCTACCCTCATCGTATGTCAGTTTTGCGTTTGGAACTCGTTGAGTCATACTGGCGCCACAAGATGAGCGAGTATGTGAAGGCTGAGGTCGAGCGCCGCCGTGCCGAAAAGGCCGAGAGCAAGACCGAAGAGGATGCCGAGGAGAAGCCCGAGGAGTCTGCGGACCAGGAGCGTGTTGACATCTCCGGATTCCAGCTTTCGCTCAACCCCGATGTCTTCAGCGGCCAGGTTCCCCAGACCAAGGAGGAGAAGGAGCAGTGGGCTGAAGACGAGAAGGAGGTCCGCAGTGCATGCGACCACCTGCGCTCCAAGATCATTCCTGATCTGGTTAAGGACCTGCACGATGGTGACGTTGGCTTCCCTATGGACGGCCAATCCTTAACCCAGCTCCTGCACAAGCGTGGTATCAACATGCGTTATCTGGGTAAGCTGGCTGATCTGTCCAGCGAGAAGGGTCCTCGCCTTGCGGCTCTTTCCACCCTTGTCGTCCAGGAGATGGTTACTCGTGCTTTCAAGCATGTATCTCACAAGTACCTGCGCAACGTGCCGGCTCCATTTGTCGCTCCCTGCATCGCGCACCTATTGAACTGCTTGCTCGGTGCCGACGTCAACGCCGCTCCCCGCGCTGAAATTGACGAGTCGTTGCGTGAGGTCTACCCTGAGGGTGACCTTTCTTTCGAGAAGGTCACTCCCGCCTCTCTCCGCGCTGAGATCGAGAAGCAGGTCACTATCCGTTACCGATTCTCCCTGGACAAGAGCTGGGCGAATTCCCTTCGCCACCTGCAGGTTCTGCGTGATATCTCCATCAAGTTGGGTCTCCAGCTCGGTGCCCGCGAGTTCGCTTTCACCAAGGACCAAGTGAAGGAGGCTCCGGTCCCCGTCCCCGCCGCCAACGGAAATGGCCACGATGACGGCAGCAAGAACAAGAAGAAGAAGAAGGGTGGCGACAACAAGTCGCCTAGCCGTGCCCCTGTTGAGGCCAAGCCTGCCGTGTCTATCTCTGCGGATGATATTCTGAACATCGTGCCCCTTGTTAAGGATGCCTCGCCCCGCAGTGCTCTGGCAGAGGAGGCCCTTGAGGCTGGCCGTATCTCTCTTATGCAGAACCAGAAGCAACTGGGCCAGGAGCTCATTCTGGAATCCCTCTCTCTGCATGAGCAGATCTACGGTATCCTCCACCCTGAGGTTGCCAAGCTGTACCACCAGCTCTCCATGCTCTACTATCAGACCGACGAGAAGGAGGCTGCTGTTGAGCTGGCCCGCAAGGCTGTGATCGTCACTGAGCGCACTCTTGGTGTTGACTCTGCTGACACCATCCTTGCCTACCTCAACCTGAGTCTGTTCGAGCATGCCTCTGGCAACACCAAGACTGCCCTGGTATATATCAAGCACGCTATGGATCTCTGGAAGATTATCTACGGTGCTAGCCACCCCGATTCTATTACCACCATGAACAACGCCGCTGTGATGCTGCAGCACCTGAAGCAGTATGCTGACTCCCGCAAGTGGTTCGAGGCCTCCCTCACCGTCTGCGAGAACCTGTTCGGCAAGGAGTCTATCAATACCGCCACCATCCTCTTCCAGCTGGCCCAGGCTCTGGCCCTGGACCAGGACTCCAAGGCTGCTGTTGGCAAGATGCGTGAGGCCTACAACATCTTCCTTGCTCAGCTCGGTCCCGAGGACCGCAACACCAAGGAGGCTGAGACTTGGCTCGAGCAGCTTACCCAGAACGCTGTCTCTATCGCCAAACACGCCAAGGACATCCAGGCCCGCCGTCTGCGCCGTGTCAATATCAACCCCCGCGTTTCTACCATGGGCACTCGTGTCCAGCCTCAGGTCGGCCAGACTGCTCCTGAGACCGCTGGCGCTGGCGCCGCTGATCCTAACATGCAAAACCGCAGCATCGACGAGCTGGTGAAGTTCATCGAGGGTGGTGAGGCCGGTTCTTCGCGCACCAAGCAGAAGAAGCGCACTGCCAACCCCAAGCTCCGTGGCTCTAAGCAGTCTAAGGCTTAAATTCCCCTTTCTTTTCAGCTTGATTGGATTTTGATCCGTCAATTACGGGCTTTTTTTTTGCCATATCTTGTCTTAACAATAAAATACTCCATGATTTTGTTTCCTGTTGGGGCCGGGGTCCAGCTTGAGCGGAAAACTGTTTTACTATTTTAGATCTCTCTCCTCTCTTCGAATCTTTTGTTTCATGTTTTCTCGACCTGTTGATTTTGTCCTGGGTCACTGCGCGGGATGAAGTTCAGGGACTCGGTTGTACTATATGGCCCGATACCTTGGTGTGGATGGATGATGATGGAAGGTCTATATACTTACGAGTTTATTTTGCATATGATAATGTGACTTGGGTCGTTGATGCATGATTTGGACCTCTAGAATGTTTCCCAGAACCTTCTACTCTAGTAGTTAGTAGTCAGAGGCCAAGGCGATATGCCCCCCAGAGCGGAGAGGTCGGCCTCTCGTCGCTGACCGCCTTGGGACCCACCCTTGTTTACTTTGTTCTGCCGTCTCCTCCGATCTCCCTGCACCCACCTTACATCGCATTTTATCGCGCCTCTTATTTGAGCCTACTTAGGTGTACATCTTATTTATCTTTTTCTCATGGACACTTTCTTCGTCAATCAATAGCTATGCTTGGATACCACGTTTGGTGATTATGCACCTTCGCAGCAGCAGCCGTGCCGAGAGGCCCTATTCTTGCAGTACAGTCCAGATGCGCTCTAAACCCTCTTGTTGCATACCTAACGATTGAATCGCAGATCTAGCATTTACACGGTAATATTTCTCCTGATGCCCCCGATGGACGACCTACAAGCGACAGCCAAGTGGGCAAACCGCATCTTACGCCCTCTGACCTCGATTTATCGTCGACTTGAGAAACACCAGGAGACGCTGGCAATAATCGCGGCCGAATCGAAACTTGAGAGGACTGTGAATGATAATACCAAAGTCACGCATATGCCAAGTAGGCTTGAAACTGTGGTCGACCAGGGTAGTATTCCCGGATCAGACGCGGACGAAGACGATCCAGTCTGGATACCGGGGAAGCAGCCCGATCAACGACGTGTCAGACATAAATTCTCGAACCGAGGTGCAAAGACTACAAGGAGAAGAACGCGTATTTCAGTGCACAGCCCGGAAGCAAGTCGCACCCTGCCCGGCGCAATTGAATTGGCGACGCCCCTAATCACTGGGAAGAGATGGGAGGCACCATCGAGTGCTCAATCACAGGGCTCTGCAGAACAACCCAAGACCAGGAAATCTCAGGGTCAAATTGAAGCTTTCCGTGATAGATACAAACTCCAGAAGAGTCCATGGCAGGAGCTGCTCGATCAGTCAGGAGATACAGGATTTGCCGACATCGCAAACAATCTGGATCGTGTTCTCCAGAACTTCCTTTGCAATACCAGGCTTCACAAAGAAACGCCGAGTGAGGCAAAAAAAAAGCCTGAACGAGGCGCGCGCTCGTTGATGTCCATGGTTGCCCGACGCTTACCGGAGTTCATTGCAAAGGAGCAGGAAGTGCAGGATGAGATGGAAGAAAATAAGGACGATGACATGACTGGCGCGTATTTCACTGAACTCGAGTCGTTTTATGCCCCTCATGGCAGAGGATGGAGGCCACTACGCGAGGCTGTTCGGGCTCAGGGCATATATCTGGTTACCAGAATGATTTACAACAAATGGGTTACAGATCCAATTTCCTGTGCTCTGATAGAAAAATGCCGATATCACGAACCAGATGCATGCGAGGCCCTTCTGACGACTTTTCTCTCCACGTCCAATACCTGTCCTTTCCCTCTCGCCCTCAACCCTCCCGTCGACTGCAGCAGACCTGGAGATCCACTACGACTACTGCGCAAATATGCGTCTTACGGCCCTGCGCATCGCTCATATATCTTTGATGAGCTAACCAAACTTCTTAAACAAGGCATTCTGCCTCCACAATGGATGTCAACTAAATTGTGGACGAGCTGGATGACCCAAGCCACAATATCTTTTTCTAGAGAAGACAATGACTCTGCTTTTGCCTCACGATTGATTGAGGCCGTTTTGGTATCTTCAAGTGATGTACAATTGGCAGCTTGCTTCACGCAGGCTACAAGATCCCTCCCTGAGAAAGGCCGAGTAAGAGCCACTCGGGCTTCATCCATAGGACAAGCAGGCAGGCCCGACATGGTAAGCCTATGCCCGGTGTCTGTAGAAGTTGCGTTCAGCAACCACATCACAAGTCTTTTGTCAGCACTATGTGGTATACACATATCACGCTCTCGTGCACTCGACGATTGGGCCGAAGTGGACGGAACCAAAGCAGGCCATATTATCAACCGTACTTGTTATATGGTGGAAAGGGACATGGAACAGAACCCACTTCCAAAGGCGACAGCAGTCACGTCACACCAACTATTCAGGCGGGGTTGCATTGTCATGGCAAATTGCCTTTTACACTGTAACGACGCAATTCTCGAAAACGACGACGAGTATATGATCCCACCAGCGCCTAGTCTTGAAGGCCTTTGTGAATACTTGTCTAGCCGATCTGATTCCGTCAAGGAACTAGCATTACTCGTCCAACAGGCCTTTCGCTGTTTTGGCGGTGCTCCTTCAAGTGACGACCCCGATATGGGTAGGGATGTCCGCCGCATGGTCTCTCGAATGCCTCACTTGGGAAAGCTGCCTTGTCTTTCAGCGCTCCTCGGTCAAGTCGCTGTGGAAACCGCCATGCACTTTGCGGAAGGAACCGATGATCCAGATGACCACCTGTGGGCAATCGAGATCCAAGAAACAGTCATTGCTCTCCACAATGGAAAAAAAGCAAGTACCGATACTTCGGATCAACTAGAAGTACGAACTCAAAGTAGAGGATATCGATGGGAAGAAAGCATTGGCGAATGGGTAGCTCGAACCCCTGCAGCCAAACCAAACCCAGCGCCTAAAGTGATCAGAGGACGCAACTCAATGACTGCGAAGCCACTTCCATACATTCCCTGCTCAACCGACAGCAGCTTTTCCGACTCAGAAACCTCTGTGAGGACCGCTTCAAGCTTGACTTCTTCCCCTACATCCGCGGAGTCCACCTCTATTGGGGTAAAACGAAGTAGTGCGGTGACAGAATCGTCGCCGACTCGCCCGGCTAAACGTCGGCGACCAGACCCGGTGATTTTGGAAAATCCCGAAGCCAGCAGGGATACTCCTAGTATTGTGACTCGGTCCTCGGTTTCGCAGCGGGAGCCCTCGCGTCGTCGTATTTTGCGTGAAATGACCGATCACCACCAGCACAATCGGTTGGCCCCCACGAGGATAAGCTCCAGAAACAAGGTCGAGGTCGTGATCATTAATCAAAGTGGGAGCGCTCCGAGCGAAGAGCCTCCACGACCTGTTCCGGAATCCGTCCAGATGCAGGTACACCGAACAATGGAGCGACGAAGGCCCGGGCGACGAGAACTTTCTGGTGTATCAAAATCGGCAGTACGCGAAGTTCCTACCCGGAGCTTGAGAACGGTCATTCCCTGTTCCGACGAAAGCGATGACGAGCTTAGCTTTCTATGAGCACGCGTGGGCTTGCTCAGAAGGGAATAAGGTCCAATCTCTACTGACTCGATAGTTGAACTGCTTTTCAGGGTCTACTGTCTATCCATGGTTCACGTTGACCATCAAAGTCTTACATTGCGAACGGACCTTTCTGTAAATCGAGGTGATCTTGGAGAATGGACCACCCGGGCTCGACCGAGCGTGGTCGAGATTGCTCGGCTCGATTTTCCAAGGAAACGGTGGATACTGTAGAGCGGGGTTCAGCTTTCTTGGGGGGTAAATGGTGTTTGGGACCTGTTATGATATTATACCCTTGGGCCGTGGTTGGCGTTATATTGCATTCATGTTTTGTTTTAGCCTCTTGTATTTGTTGAATTGCTCATCCATGCCGTTTACTTGCTCATGGCTGTGGATCTCTCTGGGTCCCTCTTGTGTTTGATGCTTAGGATCAACAATCCCCTGTATGTTTCGAATCTAAGGTTACTGGGTGACACCTGTCAATATACTTTTGAGGGGTTCGAATCGTCTAGACGCTCTTTTTTGTTGACGATACCATTCTATCTGCGGGATGCAGGAACAGCCATCGGCGCATACACTGGATTCGGCAATGGCACTTTATTCTATAGTGTCAGCCAGGGGAAAGAAATGCTCCGGAGAAACATTATCGGCCAACCTACTATTGTTTCAGCCGCCTGCGATGTGGGTGCCGGCTCTATTCGTGGGATAAATAAACTATCCACATTGAGGGCATGGGGTTCTTTTGTGATGGAGCTCGGGAGATTAAAGGTCTGACATAGATGAAGTGCCAAGATCTCCAAGCAAGAGTTCTTCCAAAATGACACGCTCAAGCCACCAGCCGGGGCAATTTTGGCCTTGGGTTGATAAGAGATATCGACATGCGTGCACGGCGGCCTGGTTCTGCTTGCTGCGTTTCACGTTTGTGAAGAATCGTGCAGCAATGGGCGCCAAACCCTACAGTGCCCACACACCAAACATCAAACACCGCCAACACAAGATCACACAGAATGGTCCAATGGAAACGTCATCCACAAATCCACCATTGGCAAGCTCCTCCGCACTTTGCCTCCCCTTTCTCCACTATCATCTAATGGATTGGTCTACGAACGAAGCAAGGGCGATTCTCAAACAATCCGTCGTGCTGACTAGGATCGGCGCAAGTCTCTACCTGGCGTCTATGGACTCTTGTTCACTTCTGACCGTTCACTGGGTGTTTCAGTATGAACCAGTCACATCAGCCCATCACGGCCCGCCACTCCAGCGCCAAGATCTCCCTCGACCTGTCGCATGTCGCATGTCGCATGTTAGTGTACTGAGGATGACAGCACTATGTAGCAGTGCCGCTCGAACGGGTCGTTCGCTACCCCTGATTCGATCTGATGATCCCCCATCTAGGATTTGCCGACCTGAGTCGGCCCTGGGTTTCCCTTGAGATATGGCCTCTCATCGGTACGGATGGACATTCCTCAGATCGGGAGAGTTTGAGAACGGCGCCAAAGCCCCTCTTCCTGCGACATATTTCGGAGTATGATCAATTCCATGACGATATGTGTACTTACGATCCGTACAAACGCCAGTCGGCCCAGCCTTGCTTGATTCTACTTATTCCGCCGCGCTGGTCCCGGCGCCGTACTGTACTTGGCCTGTCTCATTGCTCCCCACCCTTCAGGAAGAGTGGACGCAGGGAAAAAAATAGACTGTCATTTTCTTCTTCCCCCTTGTAAGAGCTTGTCTCTAATTTCTTCTTTTTTTCTCTTCCTACCGCGACATTCCCATTGTCCTGTGTCTTTCGTTTTTTTGTCGCACTTTCTTTCATTGACAATAGTCATTCAAGTGGTGGGCTAGAACCAACCGCTTTGTTTGTCTATCCTTTTTTCAACAAGCAGTGACTGGGTCACTAGCATTCTTTTCGTTGCCCGCCAACAAGAAAAGCCTCTGGAAAATATTCAGGCCGAACGAACATTCTTTGGCTTGTTGCTGAGCGAAATATCTTAACTTTGGAAAGCCGTATTCCAGTCGATGCCTGTTTCTGCGAGTCATCCACTCCGACCAACCAGTTCAGCCTAGGAGACCTTGCTCTCCGATATCAGCAACCATCAACACGTCTTCCGACAAATTTTGCGCTCACCATCAATTGCCGAACAACCTGGTGTTGTTCAAGCCTGGATCACATTTCCAACAATTTCCAACTCAATCCTTCCATTCCTTTCTGGGACCTGGTAGCACTCCCTTCGTGCATCACCTGTTCCTCCCCAGGCAAGCTGGTCTTGCAAACCAAAAACAAAACAAAACAAAATATAGAACCCACCGCTAGGCTTTGAACCGGATCTATCTGCGATACGACATCATGTTCCGCCTTCTCCTCGCTCTATCCCTCGCGGGGTTGAGCAGTGCAGCCGAAATTGAAAAACGAGGTGGTAAACCAAAAACCGCCTTAGATTTGTGGTATGAAGCAGTGAATGATGATCTGGCTCGGTACTGTATTCTCGCCCTTGGCTGTGCGGCTGCGGCAATGTTGGTTTGGACCCTCGTCTTCCGATTCTCTGGCCACCTGCGACGATTGTCAAGCTTCACCGATGACAAACAGCGATATTTCGTACCTGCTCATGGTACCTTCTCCTGGTTCAAGGAGCACTTGATCTATGCCCCGTTATTCGGCGTCCGTCACAACCGCGAGTTCCAACTTTCCACCGCCATCAACATGGGCACGCTTCCCAGCCGATTCCACGGTATTCTTGTCTTTGGAGTGGTTGCCATGAACGTCATCCTCTGTGTGGTTACTACGCCTTATGCATCTGATGAAGATACTTTGTCCGGTATCATTCGCAACCGGACAGGTACAATGGCCACCGTTAACTTGATTCCCCTTGTGCTTATGGCTGGCCGTAACAACCCTCTCATCGAGATGCTGCATGTCCCCTTCGATACCTGGAACTTGCTCCATCGGTGGCTGGGCCGTATCGTTGTGCTTGAGGGTGTTGCGCATACACTTGCATGGATGATTCCTAAGGCCCAAGAAGGTAAATACCAAATACCTCTTACATGATGAGCCCAAAACTAATATTGTTATAGCGGGCTGGGACGTCGTTGGGGTTTCTCTGTCGTCTAGCAGCTTTCTGTACACTGGCCTGGGGGTATGTCTCAGTCTATTCATTCCTTTTCTGTGTAAATCGCTAACCTATTCAAACTTTAGGGAACTGTTGCCTTCGTGGCCCTCCTACTGCACTCTCCGTCGCCGATTCGCCATGCGTTCTATGAAACCTTCGTCCATCTCCATTTCATATTCGCAGCAGCTTCTTTCGGTCTCCTCTGGGTGCATTTGCATGGATTGACTGCTAAGGCGTATCTCATTGCCGCTATCGTCCTGTGGGCTCTCGAGGTAAGTTTCGACGATGCCGTTCTACCAAATGATCAGAAGGCTCACTTTCCCTCACTAGCGCGCGGTTCGATTCTTCATAATTTTCTACCGTAACTTCGGTCGCGAGTCTACCACCGCCACTGTCGAGGCGATGCCAGGAGATGCTATGCGTATTACTCTACGCATGGCCCGCCCATGGACCTTCCGCCCTGGTCAACACATCTACCTGTACATCCCAGCTGTCGGCTGGTGGACCTCCCACCCCTTTTCCGTTGGCTGGAGTGAGACTGAAGACTCAATGTCTGACGAGAAATCTCTGCCCATGTCGAAGCAAGACTTGGTCGGCGCGCCTCAAAAAGAGACCATCTCTCTGTTGGTCCGTCGCCGTACCGGTATGACCGACAAGCTGTTCCAGCGCGCCTCCAACGCCCTTGGCAATCGTGTCACCCTGCGCGCCTTTGCCGAAGGTCCTTATGGTAATATCCACACCATGGACTCCTATGGCACAGTGATGCTCTTTGCCGGTGGTGTCGGTATCACCCACCACGTCCCTTTCGTTCGCCATCTCGTGGCTGGTTTCGCTGAGGGTACTGTCGCTTGTCGTCGTTTGACACTTGTCTGGATCATCCAATCGCCTGAGCACTTGGAGTGGATCCGGCCTTGGATGACCAGTATCCTGGCCATGGACCGTCGCCGCGAGGTTCTCCGCATCATGCTTTTCGTTACCCGCCCACGTAACACCAAGGAAATCCAGAGCCCATCGGCGACTGTGCAGATGTTCCCTGGCCGTCCTAACATTGACACTCTGGTCGGTATGGAAGTGGAGAACCAGGTTGGCTCGATGGGTGTCCTGGTCTGTGGTAACGGAGGGCTGAGCGATGATGTCCGCAAGGTTTGCCGCAGAAGACAGAAGCGGACGAATGTTGACTACGTCGAGGAAAGTTTCTCCTGGTAGTCTATTCAGACTCCTCTTTATGTCTTGCATTGATGAGCAGCATGTTATGGATTGTTTCGTCGGGTGGATGCTGTTGGAGAGCTCTCATGTCTTGGTCGCTTTTCTTTTCTTTGCTTCATCAAGCCCCTCTTTCTTTCGATTCTTTTTCTTGATGGGGTACATCTTCCGTGTTCTTTCCGGGGTATACTTTATCCTTTTGATCTATGAGCCTTGAACCTGGCTTTTCTTTGTATATTTCGTGGTTGTTCCGGTTTTGCCTGTCATCTTTGATGTATAGCGGGCTTCGGAGAGTTGTACATATCTTTCTTCTTTGCGAATGCAAGATATGAGGTGCTTTCTTCTAGGTTCATATATCATTTCCCAACTCATCGTACTCTGGGCGCCTCTCGAGATTGAGCAAGAGGCTTCTAAGTTGAAGACGGATCTAAGGCCACCCATAACCTTGGAAACAGGTACCCTAACTATTTTGAATGCGATCAGGGTATGCTGTTGTATGCTCTCCTCCAGTTCCAAAGGTTTGTCTGATTCGATGGATCGGCCAGGACTGAACGGTAGGTATGGCTGTGGTAGGGGGTTTAGAACACAGCAAAAGTAACTTTCTCAATGAAGAGGGGGGGGTTATACTCCACATGAGGCACAAAAGGTTTCCTTCTAAGCTTTGGATCTTCCAACCCAAGCCCACTCCTGTGTTACTCGCACCGGTCTAAGCGGCCCCGGGGGCCCAGCGGCTTAGCGATAAATCCGTTCAACGTTGGCTTCGGAAATGGCCCCACTCGCTTCGGCCTAAGATCGAAGTCCGGCTTTGATAGCCAACGACCCACAAGGTTTATCCTATCTGCCAGTTTTTGACATGAAGCACGGGTTTTTAAGCACCTGTTGCATAATTTCACTATGGATTTAACTTCCGATCTTGTTGTCAGATGCCCGGCCTTCAAGAGTGTGGGTGTGCGGGGTTTCACGCAGTTAATCCCGACCCCAGGGAATAACAGCATGCATCCCCACCAATTCATTCGTTACTTCTCACATAGACAAGAGTATAAGAAAATCTACACTGCCATGTCTGATTCTTGAATCAATATCTCCAAATACAATTCACTCAGTACAGCATCTCGATTTTCGAACAGCTACCGAAGATTTCAGCTCTCATAATGTCTCTATCTGGGAAAGTGATTTTGATTACCGGTTCCTCTAGGGGAATTGGCAAAGCAGCCGCCCTCCGTGTTGCTAGTGAAGGTGCCAGCCTGGTGATCAACTACCTTTCTGACGCAGCTGCAGCCAACGCACTAGTTGACGAGATCGGATCGGACCGTGCTTTGGCTGTACAGGCCGATGTCTCTAAGATTCCAGACTTGGATCATCTTGTCGACGCGGCGGTCGCAAGGTTTGGACGAATTGATGTCCTGATACCCAATGCTGGAATACTTCCGATGAAAGACCTGGAGAACACCAGTGAGGTGGACTTTGACAATGCCTATAATCTCATGGTAAAAGGGCCGTACTTCCTTGCCCAGGTTAGTAAAGAACATTAGCTTTCTCACCTCCAAGTCGATCTGCAAAGTTTTTCTTCGACTATATCTCCTTCCAATAGCGCATGGCTGCTAATAATCATGGTCTGTGTATAGAAAGCCGCAAAGCACATGCCATCTGGAGGGCGAATCATCTTTGTCTCGACTGGAGTCACCAATCTGTCGAATATCGCACCCGCATATCTTCTATACGCCTCTGCAAAGGGAGCAATCGAGCAAATGGCACGTGTGATGGCCAAGGACTTGGCTCGAAAGGGTATTTTGGTGAATGCCGTTGCCCCCGGGCCAACAACCACGGAGCTCTTCCTTACCGGCAAGCCCGAACAAATCATCAGAGCAGTGGCTTCAAATAGCCCTTTCAACCGGATTGGAGAGCCCGAGGAGATTGCCGGGGTAATGGCTTTTCTTTGTGACAAGGATAGCAGCTGGATGTCTGGTCAAATCTTGAGAGTGAATGGAGCCATGGCATGACAGAAGACCATTTTGAATAGTATTAGAAATAAGAATTGAAAGTAAAGAGTCTGATATGATCATACTCGACGAATTTTGAATGTTTCGATTTAGTCTCGTTAGTTTGGGTTTCAGGGGATATTGTAAGCCATTTGGGTAATATTGATCCAAAACTAACTCATCTAAATCCCCAAAAAATTTATTGCAATAAAATCCGAAATTGACTATTGAGCGTATCTACCATGATGTATCCATCAGGTCCAGGGGAGGAGCATTGCGAGTGGCTTTGCGAGGTTCCCGTAAATAAAGTTGCGGAACAACTGCTTTAATGCCTCCCAAATCTCTCTCGTGGTCTCTATGGAAATCCACAAGCCATGCCTGATATGCAGCGGTATCGAACAAAGTCCGGTGAGGCCGGTCGTCAGCTGTAGTATCAATAATCCGAATGCTCTCATCCAACACACATCGAATCATCCGGCGGGCAAACTCCATCATATCTTTAATACCCTGAGCTCTTTCTTTCTGGATCTGACGTTTCAATTGCGGCGTCAGAGTTATCCGTTCCGCGGCCTCAGCCAACCTTTTCCGGCGGCCCTCTTGCGCAGCAGTGCAGATCGCCAAAAGAATCCAACAAGGCATATCGTGATCATCTTCATGAAGTGTTATGTAATTACATGCTGCTTGCACCCACCGTCGTAGCATCTGCAATCCATGCAAATTGAGCTGATATGCGGCCGCATGACCGATGGAAACTATATAAGATTCATCATTATCATCAAATACGGTGCACTGTTGCACTGCATTCGCAGCCGGTTCCACGCGCGCGCTAAAATAATGGGCAATATAGGCGTTGCCCCGAGCTATGGCATGATACCAGGGTGGAGCAAGGATTCTGTCAATGTCGGGAAGACATTCATAATTCGTTAAACGTGATATTTTCATATGAATATGTATTCTATTCGTAAAGAGATAGAACACAATCGAATGTGCGCCGACACTGAATTTCCTTTCAATCAAATGGGTCCACATGTTGCGAACGAAACCAGTAGTGGGATTCTGGACGTAGGCTTTATAGGCATTAATTCCTAGATTCAGGAGTCTGTCGCAGAAGGCCTTATCGGCCCAGACTGCTACATCGCAGGATTCTGCTGCCTCCCATAAGCTTTTCCAGTCCGACGGTATCTCCAACGGCTGCCTCAAAATGGCTCTTACCCGCCTCTCCCATTCTCGAGCTGCTCTCTCATACTTTGCTACGACTGCAAGAATACCGGGTATCCGGGGCGTGTGGTCAGGATCTCTAACAAAGACCGCTGAACTGCCCACTAGATGGTCCCAGGGCAGACGTTGTACAATATAAAGTAGTAGATCAGGGTTGTTTCCCCAGCACTCTCTTGTAGCGAGCCAGACGTAGCTCATTCCCTCATTATCAAACCCGTGTAAGCCAATTAAATTTTTTCGATAGAGAAAGTGTAAGCATTCACGGCAGCCGGCTCTCAATATCTGCTGAAAGGTATCGTACGGAGGATCAGCGTCATAATCATCGTATTCGAGGTCAACGCGTTGGTCGACTGGAGGAACGCGGTGACCGTTCGCGCGGTGACGTTTTGCGTTGACATACTCCCCATAAATGTCTCTTGTGATTTCTCGAAGACGGATAACGTTGGTCCATTCATGATTAGCCTCATGTAAGATCGCAAGCGCCCCCATATTGTCCTCCCCATGCGTCTGCCACATTGTGAACGCTCTCTGTCTCATTTCACGATAAGTTTGAATCGCCCTCCATCCTTCTCTTAGACTCGCAGCCAACCGGCCCCTCAAATTTACTATTCGGGCGGCGTCCATCGCATCATCATAACGGCGACTATGGCTAGTCAGCCAACGCTCTCTTATCCACCTGTCTTCGAAATTTCCCCATAACACCCGATAGATCGCCCCTATTCTTGGTCCTAAGGAGTCGTTAAACATGATATCGTTCAGAGCATGCAGACCAGCATGGCTCCCCTCCTTCAACAAAGTCAGCAGAAGCTGACGATGCAGAATCTCAGGGAAATGCTGCATAGGCGGGAGGGGTAAGGCCATTGTATCGTGTGGCTTGAACCAGAAAGTAGAGGATGACAAGCAAATTAGTTTGAGTTATAAGTGGCTATCAAGGTAATTTTTTAGACGTTTCCTCTGCCAGTGGGTTTTCCGATAGGGATATCAAGTTGGTATATATCCATCATCAAAAAGGAAACCCTCGGGCCTTCAAATATTCTTGGGCAAGTCCATTTGGGCTTTCCGTGTGACCCTTCTGACCCTTTGTTGGCTATTTATTGATCATTCATCTTGAGAATAGCACCAGCAAGATCAACGAAGACCAGCTAGTTCCAGCGCAGGCACCTAGTAGACACAAAGAAGATTCGACCAAAAATATCATCCTTGGACTGACTGGCTTTGGTTAGGGTGACGGCTTTATTGATCGCCCTCCAAAGAAATGGAAAGTCAGTCAAAATCCACGAAAGAATGGCTGAAGTATTATACTATGTTTCTTTGACTGTCTAATTGGACGATATCATGCAAGCCCAAGTTTTATCTATAGTAGTGCGAGGTGGGCCCATGGTTTGAAGAAAGCCGGCTTGATTGAAAGAAAATGGCTTCATACCCCGAAGTCGTTGGGCTCAGAACCCAGAGGATAAGTCTGAGCTGTAGGAATAAAGTTGAACTCGTGATCAGCGAATTGCTTGCTGAGCACCAAATTGCTCGGTTTTCTTCGTCAGCGAGATGTCGCTATTTTATAGTGTAGTTCAACCATGGGCGATGATAGATCAATGATATTTCAAGGTTTTCGGCCTGAAAGAGCTAGATAATGGCCATGCCATTTGGCACGATGACAACGGGTCCCACAAAGTTCAAGTTCTTTGGGAGGGCTTACTTGCAAAGAGGTCAATGATTCTCCACCCAGTGGGCAGTTAGTGCCAACTGATCTGGAATTGGAAAATGCCCACTTCAGAGAACTGCCACTGGCTAACTATCATTAACTGATTCATTGATTTTTGGGTACCCAGTACTCCATATTTTATTTTATATTTGACCGACATCATCTGGCATTCATGGATTTGGAATCATGATAAACTCGGATAGAACATGGATTATTCAGATGGGAGTTGTACGCGGCGAGAAGCTTCGGCGGGATTATAAATCCACCCGAGTCGGGCGGGGACTCGGAGGGGGTCCAAGTGTATAACAGGGCGACTTACCCCCGCAGTACTTCTACTTCGAATAGAACTTGAAGACTGATTAATCTAAACATCATCTTTTCTCCTCACCCCCAAAACCCCATTATAATATTGTCCACTGCCCAAAATGACTCGTCCGGACATCACACTCTACACTGCCCAGACCCCCAATGGAATAAAAATCTCCATGGCCCTGGAGGAGCTGGGGTAAGTAATCCAACCTTGACTTGAAAGTCATCACAGTGTACAGTGGGCCTTGGCGGAGAACTGATATATTGGCGACAGCCTTCCTTACAAGGTTGAGAAGATCGACATGTCCAAGAATGTACAGAAAGAAGAGTACGCACCTATATACCCAGGCCTCTAAACCTGTAAGCTAACCTGATGAATAGCTGGTTCTTGGAGATTAACCCGAATGGTCGCATCCCAGCCCTGACCGACACCTTCAGTGATGGCCAGAAGATCCGTCTCTTCGAATCCGGCGGTATTCTACAGTATCTAGCTGAGCAGTACGACCCCGACCACAAGATCTCTTTCCCTAAGGGTAGCCGCGAATACTACGAGATGAACAACTGGCTCTTTTTCCAAAACGCTGGTGTCGGTCCCATGCAAGGCCAGGCCAACCATTTCTCTCGCTACGCCCCCGAGCGCATTGAGTATGGTGTGAACCGGTATGTCAATGAGTCGCGCCGACTCTACGGGGTCCTCGACAAACACCTGGCCAAGTCCAAATCCGGATATCTCGTCGGAGACCATGTCTCCATCGCCGATATCTCACACTGGGGTTGGATCGCCGCTGCCGGCTGGGCTGGCATCGATATCGAGGAGTTCCCGCATCTGAAGGCGTGGGAGGAGCGCATGGCACAGCGCCCAGCCACAGAGAAAGGACGCCACGTTCCTTCACCACACACGGTCAAGGAGGTGTTGAAGGATAAGGCCGCTACCGAAAAGGCTGCTGCCGAGTCGCGAGCATGGGTTCAGCAGGGTATGAAGGAGGATGCTAAGAACAACCTTTAGGAAGTACCCCTACCATATGGTAGATAGTAGCGCGCAATAATAGGGATCCAATTCCAAAATTGAATAAACATGATTTACTCAAGCACTTCCATGCTTACGAGTATGTAGTGAAATCTCCCCCCCGGTATCTGTTCGAGGAAACAAAGAGTTCCAATGAGATTAAAATGAGAGATCTTCAGAGAGATCTTCCCCGTCCAAACGCGACCGCCAATCGAGATCTCACCGCCTTCCGGAACAATTATACACTCACGTGATTCGGTGGCCACTATTTTCACGGGCGAACAAGACACCTTCTTTGATCTCAAGCTTTGTTCACTAACTATCCTTTGACTTCGTCCTCAAACCGCTGCTATGGCCTGGCGCAATCAAGGAATCACCGGTTCCAACAATATTCCCCTGGGCCGACGTCGGTTCGCGGGTGATGAAGGAGAAGAAGATGATAGTCGCACCGCGACTCCTGCCTCCATGCCCGATGGCCCTAAGCGTGGTCGCAGCCCTGTCCGAGGTTAGTTCCCCTACCCTAACGAGACACTAGAACCTATTCATCTCTGACAGTTCTATCTTATTATCAATAGCGGACCCCCCCAGTTGACAGCGATGGCGTAAAGCGGCGCAAGAAGCGTAACCGCTGGGGAGATCAGCAGGAGAACAAGGCTGCTGGTCTCATGGGTCTTCCCACGATGATCATGGCCAACTTCACCAGCGAGCAGCTCGAGGCATACACTCTGCACCTGCGTATTGAGGAGATCAGCCAAAAGCTTCGGATCAACGATGTGGTCCCAGCCGACGGTGATCGGTATGTGCCTTCCCATTTATCCTTCTTGTGTTTGTCCCTCCAACTCACTCATTCATCAGCTCTCCCTCGCCCCCGCCTCAATATGACAACTTCGGTCGTCGTGTGAACACCCGCGAGTACCGCTACCGCAAGCGTCTCGAGGATGAGCGTCACAAGCTGGTCGAGAAGGCCATGAAGACCATTCCTAACTATCACCCGCCCTCTGACTATAGACGACCCACCAAGACTCAAGAGAAGGTCTACGTGCCAGTGAATGACTATCCAGAGATTAACTTCAGTATGATAACTAACCCTCTAACTCCGAACTATCCCTCCATCGTGTCTGCCATGACTTCCTGCTCGACTCGAGTTGACGAGACATTTCCTCGGATGCCGTCGGCCCGTTTCTTGCTAACCCTTGGTGCTTGATGCTGCACATTGCTTGACGCGATTTCAAAATTACCGGATTACTAACACTTAGCTCTTTGCTATCTTTTTAAAGTTGGCTTACTTATAGGACCTCGTGGAAACACCCTGAAGAAAATGGAGACCGAATCCGGTGCTAAAATTGCCATCCGTGGTAAAGGTTCCGTCAAGGAAGGAAAAGGTCGCTCTGATGCGGCTCACGGTAGCAACCAGGAGGAGGATCTTCACTGCTTGATCATGGCAGATACAGAAGAGAAGGTGAACAAGGCCAAGAAACTTGTCCACAACGTTATCGAGACTGTATGTCGCATCCATTCCGTCTTTTTGGGATATATAAACTAACTATCTATCTACAGGCTGCCTCCATCCCCGAAGGTCAAAACGAGCTCAAGCGCAACCAGCTTCGTGAGCTCGCCGCCCTTAACGGTACTCTCCGTGACGACGAGAACCAAGCTTGCCAAAACTGTAAGTATTCATTCCCTCATAATCGAGTTCCACTTCTGACCACGATGAATAGGTGGTCAAATTGGACACCGCAAGTATGATTGCCCCGAGCAGCGAAACTTCACCACCAACATCATCTGCCGTGTCTGTGGTAATGCTGGCCATATGGCTCGTGACTGTCCCGATCGACAGAGAGGCAGCGATTGGCGCAACAATGGTGGCGTTGGTGGTCGTGGACCTCGTGCCATTGGCACTGGTGACGCTGTGGATCGCGAAATGGAGGTGAGTTCTTTCGTCCATTATAACCGTCTCTATAAAATACTAACGCATCTGCTAGCAACTCATGAACGAGCTGTCTGGAGGTGCTCCCGGTGAGTACCCGCCTCGCCGCATCGAGGCTGGTCCCGAGTCTGGATATCCTGATGATCGGGATGCGAAGCCCTGGCAGCAACGTGGCCCGCCGGCAAGCGATGTGGCCCCTTGGCAACAGAGAGGCCGCGAAACCCGCACTCGCGACGAATATGTTCCCCGCGACCAGGGCGCTGCTCCCCCCCTGGGCTTCTCAGAGCCGTGGCAATGACTACGGCGGTTACGGTCAGCAAACTGGATATGCTGCTCCCGGTACTGCTCCTGGCGCTGCTCCTGGCGCCGCTCCTGGCGCCGCTCCCTGGCAACAACAGGCCCCCCCCCGGTGGACAGCCGGGCTATGGATACGGTGCTTATGGAGGTGGCTATGCCTATCCTCCTGGCATGGCGGCTCCTCCCCCTCCCCCCCGGAATGCCTCCTATGTATAATGGTGCCGGAAGCCCTCCGCCGCCTCCTCCCCCAGGCGATCAGCCTCCACCTCCACCTCCCAGTGATCAGCCCCCGCCCCCGCCTCCCCCAGCTTAAACGAAATTGCGGTTACCCTAGAAAAGTCATCAGAAATGTGTTCGCTTTGTACTTGCTATCAGTGATACCGACGGGATGGTTTGGGCTCTTTTCTTTTTTTATGTGAAGTAATACAGTTTGTTTTAAGGGTGAATTTTGATATCAGTATTTATTATCTTATGATGGTCAACCTGGTTAGAGTAAACTCCAAATTCCTTGGGGCTTTGGTAGGTTAATACACCTTTACTACTACTCGAATAAGTAGAATTACTAGAACAGTACTCCGTACTCCGTCCACCCTTGTCAATCTATGAGAAGCCATGGGAGGTCCGCTGCCTCAGGCCCCACACTCTCCAGTCTTGGCTAGGGTCATCACAACTCTGCAACTTTTTCTTTCCCCCGCAAATCCCTTACAGGTACTGCCTTGTTCTCTTTGAGTCCTAATTGCCATATCCTCCCAGTACCGGGAGCTGGCTAAGTATTATTCTGTCACCGAATCGGTTCTACATCGCATATGCAGGGACCGTCGTACGGCGACTTCTCCCTGCCTCCGGGACCGAACATGCACGCTGCCGCCGCACCCACTCAGCGTAAACCTTCTTCGCAGTCCCAACGTAAACCATCTGGTCAATCTGATAGATCCAGTCATGGGCACTCTCTAAGGCATTCAATTCCTTCTGCAAATCTAAGAGAATCTGCGCGTGAGGGCTCGACGCGTCGGGCCTCTATGTCCACTTCCACCGCCTCGTCTCCCCCAAAATGGTGGCGAATTCGCTTCTTTCGTGGCATGATTCAGGACGTTAAGCGAAGGGCACCATACTATTGGAGTGATTGGACAGATGCATGGGACTATCGCATCGTACCCGCGACTGTTTATATGTATTTTGCTAAGTATGTTCTTCCCACTTTTGCACCCGGATTTATCTATATCCTTTTCTTTGCAATGAAATGGGTCAATCTTGAAGGGTTTCCGTTGAAATTCTGGCCATCTACTATATAAAGCAATACCAGTACAGCTGAAGACTTGGGGCCTTCAAGTTGCTTACGTTTTTGCAGTATTCTACCCGCTCTGGCCTTCTCTTTGGATATGTTTGAAAAAACGAATCAAAGTTACGGAGTCAATGAAGTTTTGCTTGCATCTGTTCTTGGGGCAATTGTCTTCTCGCTGTTTGCCGCCCAGCCTTTGGTTATTGTCGGTGTCACTGGTGAGTTCTGATTTTTCTTGGCGATATCTCACTAGAGCTAAAATGCTAATAATTCAGGTCCTATAACTGTATTCAATTACACGGTCTATGATATTATCTCCCCCAGAGGTACTCCATATCTGCCGTTCATGTGCTGGATTGGCATGTAAGTCATTATCTTATGCCCCGACATCGTCTATTCCACAACACTCACTAACATGCTCTCTAGCTGGTCTCTAATTATGCATTGGTTGTTGGCTATCACAAACTCCTGCAATGCTTTAACGTATGTCACTCGGTTCTCGTGTGATATCTTTGGATTCTATGTCGCTTGCATTTATCTCCAAAAGGGTATTCAAGTCCTAACTAGGCAATGGGGGCAAGTTGGAGAGACTTCCGCTTACCTTGCAATTATGGTGGCCCTTCTTGTCCTGATGAGCGCATGGATCTGCGGGGAGTTGGGCAACAGCAACCTCTTCAAAAGATTTGTTCGCAAATTCCTAGAGGACTACGGAACTCCTTTGACGATTATCTTCTTCACTGGTTTCGTCCACATTGGTCAAATGCGGGATGTTGATGTTTCCACTCTTCCCACGAGCAAAGCATTCTTCCCCACCCTCGATCGTCCATGGCTGGTGCACTTTTGGAATATCGATGTTGGCGACATCTTCTTGGCCATTCCCTTTGCACTTCTTCTGACGATTCTTTTCTATTTTGATCACAATGGTTGGTTACTCTCCTAAAACATCCACTCTCATTTCCAAGATTTGCTTGCTCACTTCATCGTCAGTCTCTTCTCTGATTGCGCAAGGCACCGAGTTTCCTCTGAGGAAACCTGCTGGCTTTCACTGGGATCTCTGGCTTCTCGGTCTTACAACCTTTATTGGTGGTCTTCTCGGAATTCCGTTCCCCAATGGACTCATCCCACAAGCCCCTTTCCACACTGCCGCGCTCTGCGTCACTCGGCAGGTAGCGGATGAGGATGAAGCTAACAAGGGCAAGGCCGTCCGTGTCACTGACCATGTCGTGGAACAGAGAGTGAGCAATTTCGCGCAGGGCCTACTGACTCTCGGTACGATGACCGGCCCGCTCCTGATTGTCCTGCATTTGATTCCACAGGGTGTCATGGCAGGTCTGTTTTTTGTCATGGGTGTCCAAGCCTTACAAGGCAACGGCATTACCCAGAAACTTATTTTCCTTGCTCAAGACAAGGCTTTCACTCCCGCATCTAATCCTCTCAAGCGAATCGAGCGCCGTGCTGCTATCTGGGCATTTGTCATCCTCGAATTGGTTGGATTTGGTGCTACCTTTGCCATCACCCAAACCATTGCAGCTATTGGTTTTCCTGTTATCATTCTCATTTTGGTCCCTGTGCGGACCTTCCTCCTTCCACTTTGGTTTACTCGTGAGGAACTAGGCGCATTGGATGGACCTACTGCTAGCCCCTTCACCATGGAGAGTGTTGGTGGCACTTACGGGCTTGACGAGGATACTACCGAGGCAGTCGCAAGCGGAGCCCAAAACTCGCCTAGCGATGGGAATAATATTCGCGAAGGTCGACTTTCGTCCTCTTCAGAATCTGCTGTCGATGGTAATGATCTTGAGAGGGGCGAGGCATACGAAATGACATCTCGGTCTTCGGTTCGCAGAAGAAGTACCACTAGCCGCATCGGCTGAGGACCTCGTGTCATTTCGCCTTTTCCTGTCAAAGTTAGCTATCTGTCTAATACAGAGTGGCATTGAAATGTCTCAATTTCAATACTTCTATATGGTTGACTTCAAGTTGTCCATACATACTCAACCCTAAATACACGTGACCTAGTATTATATCGGAGCCGTTTTGCCCGCCTGGATCTAAGGCGGTCACATCTCACCGCGTCAGAAATGTAACTTTTTCTGCCGCAAATTTTCCAAATTCAGTAGCAAGCAACAATGGCGTCCCCCAAAGACGATCTGAGGTCCGAGGACTCTTATGAGTCTGACCAATCTGAAGCAAGCCAGCACGATACTCAAGACCGTGCGCCAAAGCGCCGCCGCCTCTCCGAATCCTCAGACGATGGATATGTCGCCCCAGCACCACTCCCCACCCTCTCTCGCATCAAAAAGAAAGATGATACCAAGAAACCCGAAGTGACCGAGGAGGAAGAACCCGTTTTGATCAAAGATGCTCTGGAAATCGGACTGCGGGCCGAGTCATCCACATTCGGTGCCTTGAACTTAGCTCCATGGCTCGTTGGCTCCTTGTCGACTATGGCTATTCGTCGCCCCACGGCTATTCAGAAGGCGTGTATCCCCGAGATCCTGAAGGGAAGAGACTGCATTGGAGGTAGCCGAACCGGTTCAGGAAAAACAATGGCATTTGCGGTTCCTATCTTACAGAAATGGGCCCAGGACCCGTTCGGTATATTTGCGATCGTGTTGACGCCGACAAGGTAAGTTCCGTTTTCTTCAAAAAGAAGAAGAAGAAAAATAATATATTATTCGAAAGACGTCAGTTCCTAATCCAATTTTTTATCTACAGAGAACTTGCGCTGCAAATCTTCGAACAATTCAAAGCCATCTCGGCACCCCAGAGCATGAAGCCCATTCTTGTTACCGGCGGCACAGACATGCGACAGCAGGCAATCGACCTCGCACAACGGCCTCACGTCGTTATTGCAACACCAGGTCGACTGGCTGATCACATCAGGACGTCCGGCAAAGATACCGTGGCTGGACTGGGTCGGGTTAAAATGGTCGTTCTTGATGAGGCAGATCGGCTACTCGCCAGCGGGCAGGGTAGCATGTTGCCAGACGTCGAGACCTGTCTTTCGGCGCTCCCTCCTTCAGCCGAACGACAAACTCTTCTATTCACAGCTACCCTGACTGCCGAAGTGCGCGCATTACAATCACTGCCGCGCACCCCTAATAAGCCTCCCATCTTCGTGACCGAAGTCTCTACCGAAAACCAAGGCAACATTCCTCCCACCCTCAAGCAAACATACATCAAGGTCCCCATGACCCATCGTGAAGTCTTCTTGCATGTCCTGCTCTCTACGGAGGAGAATGTCTCGAAACCTGCTATCATCTTCTGCAATCACACCAAGACCGCCGATCTGATTGAGCGCACTTTGCGCCGACTTGGTCACCGCGCCACCTCTCTTCACAGTATTCTCCCCCAGTCTGAGCGCACCTCCAATCTTGGTCGATTCCGCGCTGGCGCTGCGCGAATCCTGGTCGCTACGGATGTCGCTTCTCGTGGCTTGGATATTCCATCTGTCAGCCTCGTCATCAACTTTGATGTACCTCGCAATCCAGATGACTACGTCCACCGTGTCGGTCGTACTGCCCGTGCGGGTCGGACCGGTGAGGCTGTTACGCTCGTGGGACAGCGTGATGTGGAACTCGTTTTGGCAATTGAGGCGCGCGTAGGCCGCCAGATGGAAGAGTTCGCTGAGGAGGGTGTCAGTATCGAGGGCCGTGTGACGAGAACCGGTGCATTGAAGGAGGTTGGAGCTGCCAAGCGTGAGGCTCTGGGTGAGATCGACGAGGGCCGTGATGTACTGGGACGGAAGCGCAATAAACTCAAGAAGGTCCGGTGAAGGGTGTTTTGAATACTCTGTTCATATTTAAATTTCTATCTGATACCATATTCCGAATCTATGAGAGCTTTTTTTAGCGTTGTCATGTAATGGGCATCTACCACCGATATTTCTATCTCAACTATCCATAAACATATCGGTAGTTTACCAAAGATCACTGTATCAAAGGTACTTCTCCTCCTATCCCTCCTAAGACGTATTCAAATTGATCGCCTTGTTTTCTGGGGGTTTTCATTTCAGGCTTCTCCATCAGATTTGGTATTGGCTCCATTCCTTGCTCGGCGCTGGTCAGTCCAGCGAAACAGCTGGTATTATCAAGCCATGTATCATTAGGAGTAGGAGACAGAGGCCCAATAGGACCAAGTTCTGGGGTTCTCAGCTCATCAAGCTCGAGGTAGTCGTCTTGGGTAGTATTCAAGAAAGACATCGGGGACAGTTCGGTCGAAGAGGGATGCTGGGAGATGGCGAATGGATGAGCGGTTTGGTTTGCTTTCCAGGTAAATGGTTCTTTGGATGACTCTATCGCTAATTGTGCGCTGTAGAGTGTTTGCTCCTCGTGACTTATAGTTGATGGGTTGTATGCGTCCATTGAAGATGGATGTGTTCCCATTAGAACAGAATCTAGAGCCTCGTCGAGAGCAGCGTCAAAGAAAATGCTAGCAGATCCAAGCTCCGATGTTCGCGTAGTGAGTTCCATCGCACCTATCGTGCCATTCGGGTCGTTGCTCTCTGTGTTGGTTTCGATATTGTCGGATAAGCGTCCTTTGAGTTGATCTATGTTTGTACCCTGGCCATCGCAGTTCCAATGCCTTGAGTTGCATTCTGCTTCTTGTGTCGGGGAACAAGAAGCTATGGTTTGTTCTGGCAACTACATAGCACAAAGAAATTAGCTGGGGCTGCCATATTATCGTTGGTCTGGTTTTGCATACTCTTCCCTGTCGACAATGGCCACAAGCAGGGTTGCAAATCATGTTGTGACTTATAGTGTATATTGACCTGATCAATTCAGGACTCTTGATGGTTAACGACTGTGCATGAAAATGGATATGCAAAATGGGTTATGGGTTTAGTAGGAGGAGTGCTGCCTGCGCTGCACAGCCGGGTTTCGATTTGCCTCGAACCCCTAAGGCCGCTGAGCCCCTGTTGGGTCCAGTCTAGTTTTATGGATGGGTACTCTTTAGACCGTACATGTCGATCAAATAGATTGAGTTCTAGGCCTGCATAGCACTTTTTGATTTGATTGGCTAGATGAAGCAGATTCATTGGGTTACAGAGTACGGAGTATGGAGTATCTCCATGTATGAATGACGTGGTAGGCAGTAATTTGGCCATTATTCAGTCCATCTCCCCTAGGTAATAGCGCGAGAAAGGCTTATCGATAGTTGACAGAGCAGATCTGATGCTCCATGGCATACTCTTCCGCATCGCGTTGGGTACATGGTACAACTACGAGTAGTATCCCACACTGGCAATAAATATCCAGCTAATGCCGCCATGCAGTCCCTATTGAACGCAGTACAGTTTTCGATTCGATTCCATTCGATCCAATATGGAGATATCTGACATATTTCACCGTCACAAGACCGCGGCCTGCAGGCCTCTATTGGCTATTAGTTCAGGGGGCAGATCCATTTGGTCTCTTGCCTACTGCGCTGAATCAGGACCAAGACAATCGTCAGTACACAAGCCGGTTCATTTGGTTGAGTTTAATTTGAATTCTGGGTGAGAGAGCCTTTTGTCAACAAATGCCATCCCTTTTCGTTATCCTGCACACCTGATCCTTTAACACTCGATCCTTTCCCAATGTGGCCAGATATGGCGATCAGCCATATGCCAGGGTAACACAGCCATGCCATGATGTATTCATGCAGTCCCATTGTCTCACTCAGCAAGCCCTGGTGACCATTCCCCTTAGCTGACTTCTTCTTTAAACCATGTGTACATCGGTACTCACTAATACTAGTACTTTTATCATTGTCGTGAAAAGACTGCCCCGACACCATCTTCCACCGCTAACTTATGACTTCGGTTAATTCCAGACATTCAAAAGTGTACAAATGGTATCATTGGTAGTAAGAGTAATAAGAATATTCTAAAGGACGCCGCATGCTCCCAAAATTAAACCACCTTCGCATCTCCATATGCCAGCCAGCAAGTATGTTCATCAAAGCACAGTTCGTTTATCGCAGTCAACACAAGCATCGAGTTCACTGATATCCGTAGAAAAGCAGAATGCCTCGCAAAATGCAAAGGGTAATCGAGGAATGAAAGAAAAAATGTTTTGTTGTCAGTGCACATCAGCCACGGCCGTCAACCTGTCCGGTCCATGCGTCTGAACTGTCCTGACTGCCTGCGGTGCTCATGAGCTTGAGTAACCCATCCACCGCATCCCCTCTTTGAGATGGTGATAGTTCCTCGTGTTTTTCGGGTTCTTCTTTAGACATTGGTTCCTCGCTCACCTCACGGGTGCGGCTTTGGCGGACGACAGTAGCGGGTGGGCTGCTCAGTTGCATTGGAGATCCAAATGCGCGGGGTGGAGTGCGTTGGGATGGCTTCACGCAGGAAGAAGAGTTGGCGAATGCGGAACGGCGTCTGGGGAGATCAGGGGTGCTTCGGAAAGGAGTAGAGGTCATGTCGGCCGTGGTACCAATGCGGGGAGTACGGAATTGAGAGGGCGTGGTGTTTTTGAAGGAGACGGAGGGGGATGAGAGAGCGGCGAGAGAGATCCGAGGGCACTTGCGGCTGTGTGCTTCCAGTTCGGATACTCGGCGATCGAATTGGTGACTAGTAACATTGCGCATGGCGGTTTGTAGGGTGTTTCGGAGAAGCAGCGCTTTCTAAGATATAGTTAGAACCAATGTCATGACAACCCAAACGGTGGAACAATATCAACTGACCTCCTGAATAAACATTTTCCGCGCGTTCGAATCCTCGGGCATAGATCTTGTGTCATTCTCCAAACTCTGAGACGCGGTTGGGAGCATCTCTGTTTCCATCTGATCTTCGGATGTCTCGTCGCGTTCCGGTTGGGTGGTTGAGGTGGGCGTCTCGACGCCAACAACATTGACATCCGTCGCGTTTGGTACTTGGGCAGGCTATTATAAAATATATTTGTTAGTCAATTGACATTATGTTATGCGCTAGAAGCAATTGATTGGACAGCCAACCTCGTGAATGCTCTGTTTTATGGTAGATTGAGAACTTGATTCTTGCGAGCCCAGCGGGTCCTGCCCGCATCCGGTGTTGATTTCGACCTCATCCACCTGATCCCTAGTCCTTTTTTGGCCGGCAAATATGGGCGAGGGTAGAAGCTTCTTAGGTGAAACATTCGTGAACAGCGTTCGCTTGGTGGGCGTGCCCACGACTGAGAGCGACTGTTTGCTCTGGTGGGCCGGCGAGAGACACGCGTTGGTGTCTTTCTCGCCTAGAATGCGGCGGCCATCCTTAATCGGACTGAAGGGCATTGTTGTGGACTGCATCATGAGGCGTATGTGGGATCAATTGAGGTCGGGGGAGGTGTTGGGGTCGAGAGAGAGCGAAAGATACACGCCGTGGCGGGGGGAAGTGGGCTCGGGACTGGGACCGGGGACCGGAATCGGGGCAATACACGCGTGAGAGACACCAACAGGGAAGGCAGGGGTAAATGAAAAGATCAAAAGACACAATGAAAGTGGGAAGAGAAAGACGGGATTGAATGAATTGGAGAAGAACAAGGGTACTAAACAAAAAACGGTCGCGTCAATCGCGTATAGACCCCCGATTACTAGCTTTGTATAGAAGCACGGACACGGTCACGGTCACGGCTCCACAGCGTGTGGTCGTGTTGAGCACGCGTCCACGGGTTGCGCGAGTTGCGGAGCTCCCGAGTCTGGGTCTGCTTGTTTTGGTGGATTCTGCTAACTGGAAATGATAGTGACAACTGGTAGTGGACAGTATGTTCACTGATATCAAGTAGTATTGTGCTTACTAGTTAGGGTAATACCAGGCAGCTTGATCATATTGCGTCTGCCGCTTAAAATCTTTTTCATGCCCAAAACTTTCAATATAGCTAATTGTGATTTTGTGTTTGTTAATTCCACCTAGTACTAGTAGAAATACATACTTCATTCTTAAACATCCGTGTATTAAATGTCAGTCCATTCAAAGTTGGTGACAATCCCATCACGCGTCTCGCCAGGAATTCTCTGGGTCATGTGTCACGGTCTCAGACCTTTGGGGTTAGCAAAATAGACCATAACAAGGTACCAATATACGTAGGGATGCTACGTATGAAGGGGAGGGGGTAAATAAAAAAGAGAAGATTCAAGTTGAATTGGTGGTAAAAGTAATTACTAATGATTCATAGGATGGTGCAGCGTATATAGAAGGTGTAGTCAGGTGATCATGTGACCTGCACTCTTCTGGAAGTAGTGGTTAGGTATGATCTAGATGTTTTAGTCTTGTTACAGTTGGAGTTTGTGAAATCTACTAATCATTGTCATGTTGTTGTTACTAGTAGTAGTACCTAGGCAAATGGTATCACAATACTACTGGGTGGTGTAGTGACCTCGGGAGTCGGGAGTACCATTGATGACCTACATAAATATACCTACTTTATTAATGGATGGTTAGTGGTAGTATTACAAGTATTAATTTTTCAATAATAAACTTGAACCTTGAAGTGCCTAGAGATACTGATATTATACTACTACAGCTACTACTAGTCCACTACAACTATGTACTAGTATGTACTATGTACTGCTGTGATCCGCGGATGCACAGTCTCCGCATGACATCATCATAGTCACCCTCAACTTGAACAGCGAACTTGAACCCAAATATACCTCGAGGTACTTTGGTAGGCTACATTTAACCTCTCCCCATCCAATCAGCTAATTCAATATTGCCTTTTACAACCCCTGTACTAGTAGGATCTGAAAGTGAAAACCTGGGGTTAACATGAAGAAGAAGAACTCAAACTCAGCTGAGCCCGACTTCTTCCCCGCATTTCACTCTGGGCAGCCACTGGCAGTGCATTCCAACCCCTTTGGTTCAACTTGTTCTTGTTCTTGTCACATCTTTGGCTCCTGGTAACCCTAGCCAAAGATTTCTTTCATTCCCTTCATTCCTTTTCGAGCTGCACCACAATGCAGCTTCCCCTCGCAGTTCTGGCTGCGGCCTTCACACAGGCCGCCCTGACCACAGCCTCCTCCTTGACACCGCCAGTCCTTCCGTTAACCGTGCGAAACCCCTACCTGAGCACATGGCTAGGGAATGCCCGAGAGGCTCCATGGTCAAAATGGCCTATGTTCTATACCGGGGAGGAGATTGGTCTCTCCCTGATGGCCCACGTCCCGAGTCAGGGAGCCGTTTATCCCCTTGTCGGTAAACCGCAGGACTCCCTGCCGTCGGGCCAAGTACAGTTCCCCGAATACCTGGGCAACAACTACGATGCCTCCACCACAAACTTCACCTATCGTATCGATACCGGCTCTTCTACTCCCCTGGAAATTACCATCTCCTTCCTCTCTCCTATTACGCCAACCTCGACTTTGCGACAGTCGATCCCGGCCTCCTACGTCACAATCGATGTACGTGGAGACACCAATGTCAATGTGTATATGGATATCGATGCCCGCTGGGTCACTGGGGATCACGGAACTAAAATAAACTGGGCGTGGGATACTATCAATGTCCAAGACAAGACAAGCAAGAGTCCAGCCCTCCAACGCTGGCAGATTCGTAGAGAGCAAGAGCTTCACTTGTCGGAAATCCGCGACCGTGCCGAATGGGGCACCCTGCATTTCACTGGCCCGGCTGTAAGTAAAGCAGTATCCAGTATCTCACACCCTGTCTCTCTGACATGAAACTAGAATGCCCGATTCCAATCCGGAGAGGCAGCCAAGGTCCGTCGAAGCTTCGCAAAGACTGGCTCCCTAACGAACGAGAACGATGATGATTTCCGTTCCATCGATGATCGATCGCCTGTCTTTTCATTTTCTCAATCATTCAACTTGGGTCATTCCGCTAAGAAGAGCTCGGAAAGTGTCACATTTACCCTTGCTCTGATTCAGATCCCCGTCGTGCAATATGCAGCTGCCCGCGGCCTGACAATGATGCGCCCCCTGTGGGAGTCTTGGTTCCCCACCACTGAGGAGCTACTGACTTTCCACTACAATGATCATGCCGTGGCTGCGTCCCTGGCATCTAACTACTCGATTCAAGTGGCCAAAGATGCTTACCTCTCCGGTGCTGATGACTACGTTGATATCGTCGCTCTCTCGGCACGCCAGGTTATGGGCGCCACCACTTTCTCAGGAACCCCAGAGGACCCCATTCTGTTCTTGAAGGAGATTTCCTCGAATGGAAACTTCCAAACCATCGATGTCATCTTCCCGGCGTTCCCATTCTTCTTGTACACCAACCCACGTTGGTTGGCGTATCTCCTGGAGCCTCTTATCGAGCATATGCTTAGTGGACAATACCCCAACACCTATGCCATGCACGATCTGGGGACCCACTTCCCCAATGCCACCGGCCACCCCAGACGGAAACGATGAGTACATGCCGGTAGAAGAATGTGGAAACATCTTGATCATGGGCTTGGCGATTGCCAATTCGCTCCAGTATGAGGACTCATCTACTGCCTCCTCTATTTGGTCTGCGCAAGGCTCGCCCTCTTGGTCTGCCTCAAGCGATTCGGATTCGCTCTTCCCTCTCAGTGATCTTCAGACATTCTCTGGAATCGCGCACCAAGACGGCAAATGGGGCGGTGGTATCGAGGGTCAACAGCTCGCCAAGAAGTGGGTGCAGCGAAGCTACACTCTCTGGAAGCAGTGGACTGGTTACCTCGTGGAGTTCTCCCTTGAGCCCGCTAATCAACGTGAGTGATATGACTATTCTCTCCCACGATCGATTGAAAACTAACCTCGCTATAGTGTCTACCGACGATTTTGCTGGCTGGCTTGCTCTGCAGACAAATCTTGCCTTGAAGGGTATCGTGGGCATCAACGCGATGAGCAAGCTCGCCGAGCTGACCGGACACGACTCCGACGCAAAGTATTTCAAGGTAGGACAAAAACATCACTTTCAATGACCTCAGGCCTCTAACTTCGAATACACAGGACACTGCCGACAAGTATATTGCCAAGTGGGAAGAGTATGGCATGTCTCGAGACAACACACACGCCAAACTCGCCTACGACTGGTACGGATCCTGGACAACAATCTACAACCTCTATGCCGACGCCCAGCTCTGCTTCCACCTGGAAGGAACGAACCTTTCCTCCAATGAGTCCGCAGGTTTCGTCCCACGACACATCTACCAGAAGCAGTCCATCTGGTACCACTACGTCCGACAGAAGTACGGACTTCCCCTCGACAGCCGACACTTGTATACCAAGACGGACTGGGAGTTCTTCTCTATGGCCGTTGCTTCGAAGCCCGTTCGTTCGGAGATTCTAGAATCCGTTGCACGATGGGTCAATGAGACTGTCACGGACCGGCCCTTCACCGATCTCCACAAGACCGAGGGCGATGGAAACTTCCCCGGTCCGAACTTCTTCGCTCGTCCTGTTATCGGTGGTCATTTCGCTTTCTTGGCGCTAGAACGCGCTTGTGGTGGGCAGGCTATGCGGGGTCTGTCATTCCTGGATGATATTGACGAGCAGACGTTCAAGAAGTGGTCTGCTAGTGCCGAAGCCGCAGTTAAGGAGTCGCAGCTGTGGAGACACGGCTCTGGAGAGCTGTAGATGGGGTTGACTTGAGTAGTAGTCCCTCGTTTGAAGTAGATTCCGGCTGGGGTGTGGATAGATCTGCACGTCACTTTCTTGGTGCTACTCATACGTAAATAGCTGATTATATACTATCTTGGCCAATTGGGTTGACCTTGAGCGAAGCTTGCTGTCTGCCACCAGGCTCATAGATGCTATCAAATGAAGTTGACACTGAATTTTTCCCTTCCATACCTACCATTCTTCCTTCAAGAAAATGACCACTAGTTTTTGTTTGTTCTATGGAGGCTTTTTGACAGCTGTAGCACTGGCAGTGCCCTAAGGGGGAGTATTAGCAAGGACACTGCCTCCAGGCTGTCGCACTGGCTTGGTCAGTCCACGCCACTGTATGGATCTAGTTCGTAGATAGCCTCAGCTAGTCTTCCACCCTAAACATATTTCATGATCTCCTTGCCAGTATTTCCTCTTGCCCATCTCTATTGTGGAAGTTGTATCGACTGCATTAAGTATCCTAGAAAGCGGATCAGATATCCTGTATTGGCATGATACCTGGGCACTACCTAGGTAGCAAACTCACCTGTTGCTAGCCCTACGAGTACTTCATACTTTCAAGGTTGATACGTCATATACACCCGGTCAACCTTCTGAACTACAATTGCAAGTCCTATTTCAGATGAAGGATTTCATTGCGTTCCTAATTTTTTATGACGTTTGGATCGAATCAAATTACATGAGCCCGTTGAATTTCAATCATCCAATTCACGTTTGCACACGTCCACATCCGAGAAAACATGTTAAGCACGAGTCAAGTCACACATAGACCTCCAAACACCTTGATCAAGGCGGAAAGAAGGCCGACTAATTTTTTAAAAAAAGGCGAGAAGAGAGATATTCCCCAGAAAACTAAATCAGTGGAAAATAAATTGAAGGCACGCTGTCTAGGCAGCAGGTCACCCTCCATTCATATGGGCCGCAACTCTTTGGCGAGAGTACATTTATGCGCCCAGGCTGGGGAAGTTCTTCTCGTCGACGGTAGGGCCGGCAGGGGCACGGCCGCCACGGGGGGCAGCAGCAGCACCGCCACGAGGAGCACCACCGCGGGGGCCACCGCGAGGAGCGCGATCGCCACGGGGAGCGCGGTCACCGCGAGGAGCACGGTCACCACCACGGGGAGCACGGTCGCCACGGGGAGCGCGGTCACCACCACGGCCACCACGGGGGCCGTTGGAGGGGCCGGTGCGGGGCTGCTCGACGTAGCGCAGGTCGACGTCAAGGAAGTTCTTCTCCTTGCGCTGCTTCTGGCGCTGGGACTTCTCGGCCGAGGCGGCGATGAAATCCTGCTGGTTCTCGTGGGAGAGCTCCTTAGCGGCATCCCACTTCTTGTCAGCCTTGGTGCCCTCGTTGGCGGAGCGGACAGGCTTAGCAGCCAGGCTGGCCTTGGCGGCCTTCTCAGCGAGGTAGGCATCGAAGGAGACGGACTTGTCGGCCTCCTCGGCGTCCTCGGCGGGAGTCTGGGGCTCGTTCTCGTCGGCCTGGGCGATCTTCTCGCCGGCACGCTCGTCATCCCAGGTCTTCTCGCCGGCCTCAGCACCCCAGCCCTGCTGGACCTGCTTGCGGGTGTCACTGTGAGATGATTGTTAGCCTTTCGTCCGATGATTTTTGTTCTAACTGCAAAAGATCTTCTCGATCTTGCAGTCATTGTTTCACCAGGAGGGGTCGCTTACGTCTGGCCAGTGCGGGACTGACGGTCACCACGGGGGCGACGCTCACCACGGCGAGCGGGCTGCTCGGCCTCATCGGTGGGCTTGGTGCGGTTGTTCTGGCGACCGGCGTTGCGGTCACGGAAAGCTGTGTTACCCGAATATATCAGCTCCAGGTCATTTTTATCCTCATGCCCCTCTTTTGCAAATCCCCGAACTCAATTGATCACATACCAGCGTCGTTGCCAGCGTTCACACGGCCACCGCGGCGGTTGTTGTTCTCGCGGGGGGTGGTGGTGGTGGCGGCGGGGGCCTCCTTAGGGCCATCACGCTTGCCATGGCGGGGAGCCGGTCGGTCGACGGCCCGGGCGGGGGGAGCAGGGGGTCTGTTGGGGTCGAGCTCGGGGTCGTTACCTGCAAAGATAGGAAAAAACCCCATGATTAGTGGACAATATTCATCTCGAAGAAGCTGATGGCGGTGCCGGTGGTCGCCGGAAGCGATTTGTGTGCGGGCGATCGGAAATGCCCCAAAGCGCAATAGAAGTGGGAAGATTGTGAAACAAAGGATGAAAATTACCGAGGAGCTCGTAAAGGTTCTGTAGAGACAAAAACAGCAGATGTTAGCTATCCTGCCTGCCATTTGTTCGATCCCAATTGCTCCGGAGCGAGTGGGAGCTTTCGAAGCTCGTTCATCTTCATCAGCGTACCTTAGACCGAATGGCTTCCGCCATGACGCCTGCTTGCGGAGTCCTTCCGACTGGGAAGGCACTCGACGATCGCGGAGAGGATAGGGAGGGGCACAAGGCAGAACCTCAACAGATCCGGCCTTTTAAATGAAGATTGATATCGCTATCGTGATGGAGATGCGAAGGGAGGAAGGAGGCGGCCAAGGTCCATTGTGGTGGAGCACGAATCCGGTTAGGCGCGATTTACTAAGCGAATCAGGCTAGGGCTTAGGGTATCATGGCGTCACTGCCAGCATCATAGATCCTAGGATTGTACTCCATCTACTGCGTACTCGTCGTTTGTATCTTTAGGGCTTCGACTTTTATCTCATCTCTCGATAGACTGTACATTGTTCTACCTGGTATCCATCAGATAAATAGCATCCCAAAATATAGTAACGCCTGGCAATGCTCAGAAGACTTTTTAGTAACACGGAATCCAACTCCTTGCTATCTCTCCATTTCCTTTTCCTCTCTCTCTCTCTCTCTCTCTCTCTCTCTCTCTCTCTTCCCCCCTCAACTTCGTGGATGGTTCTGTTCATAGTTGAATGGGGTCGGAAAATGCATACTGGCGCTCAGTCCAAACGGATCATTGTCCAGCATCGGTTCATACTGTCCCAGCAGATGGTTTGCATTTCCGAAGTCTCCGGCTGAACCCTCTCCGGCAGAAGGTGGATTGAATCCGGTCAAGCTGTGTGAGCCCGAAGCAACCGATTGAGGTGTAAACCCCGGGACAAATGAACCGTGAATAGATCCATCTTGGTCATCATCCACCATATCTGCTTGAGCATCGTATTCTTGTTCTAGAAGTGTTAGCCAAACTCTTGGGGAGGATGGGAAAAAGTAGTCCCTCAGGGATCTTAAAAGTGTAATTCTTACCGAGCTGATCATAATGCTTTTGGAAAGGAGAAGGGTAGTATGCTGATGGGACTCGTCCAGCCCGGGCCTCCGCGGCTTGGCATCTGACGGATCGGTATGGGGCATACTGATAGCTGGCGGCGAAGTCTGATTGTTGAAGGTTCGCGGCTGCGGCAGTAACTGCGGGCGCCCTGCCTGTGATTCCACACCGACAGGAGACATGCCGCCTCCCTGGAATGCGAAGCCTGGAGACTTGGCATGCGACGGCGAGGAGACGTGAGAAGTGGGGGTGGCTTGAAACTGCGGTGATGAAACTCCATAGGCACCTTCGCGCTGCGAGATGCCGAACGCATCGGGCTTGGAGGCGATGCCGGCAGGGTGCCTTTGTCCCGGACGAGGGCCCGGAGGAGCTGGCGCCGACTTGGGTGGCATGGGATTAGGCGCCGGTTTGGCGGCAGCACCGGGAGCACCAGTCTTGAGGCGCAACTCCGCCTGGACGTCAATGCCCTTTTCGAGCAGGATACGCTCCAGCAAAGAGTTCTTGTAGCGCAGCATCAGACATTCGTCGGCGGCGCTACGGTGGCTCTGTTGGAGGCTCTGTAGTTGCTCTTCATTACGCTTGATGGTGGTCTCGAGTTGACGGATGTATTCCGTACGACGCTCGCGAAAGGCGGCTTGTGCCTGTCTGTTGCGCTGCTTGCGTTCTTCAGAGGTGGCATATATCTAGATAAGAAAAAGCAAATTAGTCAGGCCAGAGTGAAATGGTGTCAAAGATGGGGGTTGTGGTGATAGGAATGCGGGGCCCCAAATTTATTGCATCTCGATGCAAGATTGGGAAAGATGTTACGTACAGGTTTCCGACCACCCTTTCTCTTTTGAGTCTGCGCGGCCTCTTGATTTAAAGGCTCGACTTCAGGGTCCGGCGTTGAGACATTCGAGCTGATCGAACCGTCAGGCAACGGTTCGGACTTGGGCACGACCGGATCCATGACCGTGTCATTGTGCTCGGGATGGGAGGTCTCGACCATAGAGACCATTGGGAAAATGATTGATCTCACAGATCTTTAATTATTGATCGGACCTCACTCCCTCAATCCTCTTCTTTCTTTCTGGCCCTGCCACGGTGGGAAAGTCCCCGACAGAGCGCGCGCCCTCCTACTTTGTGATCGCGCCGCACTTCTCTTAAAATTCCTCCGACCAGGATGGCAATCCCGAGCCACAACCACGGGCTTGGGGGGTGGAGGGGGGAAATAGAACAGAACAAGAACAGACGCAGGAACCGCGCGGCTAGGACGGATCGGAGGGGACGTGCGAGTAATGAGAGACGAGTGACATAAAAAAAATTGGATTAGGAGAAAGAAAGAGTCAGAGAATTCGAGATAAACGGGGGGGAACTGGGGGAGGAAGAGAAGTTGTGAGGTAAAGCGATTGACTAAACGAATAATCCCTATTGTCTGTCTGTCCACCGCGGGTCCAACCAGACCAGAAAGAGAGGGGCTCGCCTATGGAACTTGTTACGCATTGCCTTTTTTTTTTCTTTTTCCTTTTCTTTTCTTATTCTTTTGCCCCGTTTCCTTTCCTTTCTTTTCCCCCCTCTTCTCGTCTTTTCCAGGAAAAATTTTCAATTTTGCCCTCCTGGGGTGACGGCACGGGTCCACCAGCTTGGCATTGGTTGGCCACTTCGCAAGGTCTGGTCGCATCGTACGAGGGAAGCGAGAGCAACAGGAGGAAACCCGAGAAAATGCCCTCCACCCGCGGAGAAAGCCCGGCTCCATTGGTTCTGGACACGAGGTACCAACTGGTGGTATGGTGGTTGGACTCCAACTTCTCTCCAACGTCCAACGCCGAATAGCCGATACCGGGGCGTATTGTAATTTCCAGATCTCTCAGTACGTCTCATGAGGTACTCAAAGTACATCGTGATATCACCCTGTTGCTTGCCAATATGAAGTATACCCAGTATCTTGAATACAATATATTACCATACACATACAGTATACAATACACACTGTATCGGTGCATTCCGCCCCATGCTGGTTCTGCTCACCGCGGGGCTTTCAGGGGCGCACTAGCAGTGTATTATTGCTCCTATAGCCCTCTTTGCTGGCCTGTTCTTACTCGTACACATACGGCTCTTCCTCTGCGAGTCCGATCTTCTGTCACGCATGACCATGTCACGCGGCGATCCAATGATGCAATGCTGCCTCGTGCGGGGGGGGGGGTTTGATCAGAGACTGCGCAAGGACCAGACTAGACCAGCCCCAGCGATCCGGCACTTACTTAGCATTAGATCTTACAATTGCATATCTCATCTATCCATACGAGCATACTCGTTCTTAAAAATCATAATCCAGACTAGTCCATCAATTCACACTGATATCTGTGGCCTTTAAAAGAGTATCCTATACCAAGGCATTGTAGAATGCAGTTAATATGCAGTACTCCCCGAGGGTCCGTACACTGAATCTCGGCGATCGGCCCTTCGGTTCCCCGCCAAATTCGCCGTGTCACATGCCCTGGAGACAGTGAACAACAATCGCACCAACAACGGCATCAAACGCGCCTCCGAGAGTCCCCATCCGTTCCTTAATTCCTTGATTTCCTTGACTCTTCTCTCCCCTCGTCAAATCCATCATGGCGACCCCTTCTGTCCCCGTTGACAAGGAGTCCGCCCCCGCGACTGCTCCTGCACCTCCCATAGAAACCCCGCAGAACCAGCCGACTGCGCAACCAAGGGATGACGAGGACTCGGACTTTGACGAACTAGATGGTAGGTTAGGTCGGCTCCGCAAACTCTCCTGCGGACCTGCATGCTAACCACTGCAACCCCCCCGCAACAGAGGTTCTAGATGATTTCTCCAAACCAAAGGCTCCTCAGCCCGCACCGCCTGCTCCATCGGCCAACACCACCGGCGCCGGTGCGGCGCCGGCTGATTTCGACGAAGATGCTTTCCTGAAAGAGTTGGAGAAGAACATGGCTAGTATGATGGGTGATGGCGGAGCCGCCGCTGGACTTGCTGCAGGAGCTGGAGCTGGAGCTGGAGCTGGGCCGAGTGGTGCACCTGGGGGAGCTGACTTCCAAAATTTCCAACAATCCTTAGAGGGGGGCGCCGATGCCTTTGCCAAACAGCTCGAAGATAGTGGGATCCCGCCTGGGGACTTCCTGAAACAACTACTTGCTGATGTGATGGCCGAGGAGGGTGGCAGCGGTGCTGGTGTCGATGCTGCCGCTGGGTTAAGCGGTGCTATACCCTCACCTGCACCCGCTGCGACTGCGTCTTCTACATCGGGTGCCAACTCCGACCAACCTGCTGAGTCTTTCAATGAAGCTATTCAGCGGACCATGGAGCGGATGCAGGATTCTGGAAATCGCGCTACCGAGGCCGCGTCTGCGGATGATGGGCTATCTGAAGATATGCTCGCCCAGTTACTCAAGGCTGTCGAGGCCGGTGCGTCGGGTGGAGGCGAGGATGGCGGTGACCTCACTAAAATGTTTATGGGAATGATGGAGCAGCTCTCAAATAAGGAGATGCTTTACGAGCCCATGAAGGAGCTGGACGGTAAATTCGGACCCTGGATCGAGAAGAACAAGGCCGAGGACAAGGTCCCTGCGGCAGATATGGAACGTTATGAAACACAAGCTCGCATTGTCAAGCAAATTGTGACGAAGTTCGAGGAGACGGGCTACTCGGATGAGGATCCGAAATGCCGTGAGTATGTTTGGGAGCGCATGCAAGAGGTAAGTTTAGTCCTTTTCTTTTTCGTTGGAGCACCTGAATCATTGCAGACCAATGTGCTAATGCTTTACAGATGCAAGCAGCTGGGAGCCCACCAGAGGAACTCATTTCCAACCCTCTCATGGGTGATATTGGAGGTGCAGCTGCAGGTGCGATGCCCGAGGGAATGCCCGATTGTCCCCAACAATAAGATGATTCCTGATATAGACTTTGCACATTCATCGGCTTGCTTTGTACTTTACATATACGTAACTGCGTCGATACCCAATACACTCAAGCATGCCATTTATGATTCTTGCTGTCTGAAGGGTGTGATTAGTTGCTCGTAGAAAGAAGTCAGGTTTGCGGCTGCTCCAGCAGCAGCGTGGACGTACTCGAGACCAGTCGTTGACAATGATTAACCCAGGGGATTTAGATGTGGAAATTTAGCATGGTTTGATTTCGATTTGATTACGATTCTTTTGTTCCACGAATGGATTGCAGATACTCTATTAGTATTCTGCTTTCTATACAAGGCCACAGGCCATATTCACACACAACTAGTTCAAGCCACAGAAGGCAAGACAATACCTAAGCTATCCACACAATAATAATAACATCCATAGATCACCCACATCAGATAAAAACGCCATCAAAAGAAATCGCTCTCGCTGAAACGCAAACAAAAATTTCGACAATAAGCACAAGCACTACTTACGACATATCCATATCCTGCGACTGAGCCGGGTCAGGGAGGGTCATGAAGATATCATCATAATCGTCATCACTGAAAGAGGTATTCATCCCAGGTTGGGAGTCCGCAGATTCCTGAAGCGCCATCTCCATTGCCTCTTCCTGGGAGACGAATTCATTCAGAGCTTGCATGTCCGCATCTTGCTCCGGGAGCATATTATCATCCTCAAACTCGAGCCCTTGCGTCATGGAATCCACGTCCCTGGTCATCGACTCCTCCCATTTCCGTTTATCGGCCATATGCTCTGCCATCATCATCTGCTCGCCACGTGCCTCGAAGCGGCCCGAGTCGCGCTCGTTCTTGACGCGGTTCAGGAACATTTTGCGTGTCTTGGAGCGAGCGAGTGATGTGGTGTTCTTCATTGGGTTGGCGATTTGAGCAGAGTAGCGGTCGGAGAACTTGGGTCTGTTGGAGGGCGAGGGGGAGGTAGGAGACATGAGAGCAGAAGTTTGGTGCTGGAAGGGCGAGGTTGAAGGCGGGCTGAAGATGTTTGCTGACGACTGCTTTTGCCCTTCCTGAACCTGCGTTTGCGGCTGGAACTGGTTGCTGTGGATGGAGAAGTTCGGGAATTGGACGGGAGAGAATTGGTTCTCATCCATGCCAGGCTTTGATTGACCCGCGGAGGCCATTGTCCACGGGGGTGTGGCGATGTTGGAGTTGCGCTGGCCCAATGGAGAAGGTCGCACCGGTGTATAATGGCCGGTTTGGCGACAGGGCGTGGCTGGCGAGGAAGGAGGGGATGTGTCACGAACATGGTGGAGGTTGGAGATTGGAAGACGAAGTTGGGACAAAGTGGGTTCCGTGGTTCGGATATGGAAGTCTGTTGTGGTTTCGCCGAGTCCGGGAGTATGGAAGTTGGAAGTTGGAAGTTGAGATGGATGTAGTTTTGAGTTTCTGGAGACGTGGTCCACTCGAATTGTTCTAGGTGAGGTTAGGTTATAGCCTTTTGGGAGTTCTTTTAAATGGAGTGAGAGGCTGGGGGAAAGTTGTCGATCGTATCGTTGACTGCGCGACGCGCATTCCAGCCGCCACGTGAGGAGGAGCGCGTCGCGGCGGCGGAGGCAGAATGGATCAACAGGCCAGCCAGGGGCGGACGCGGTGATCTGCACATTCCATTACCCTTCGAGATACTAGATACCCTATGGAGTACGGAGTACTACTCATCCGTCTGAAATGGCTACATATTTCAATGATGAAGACAACGGACCTTTAATGTAATTAATAATGTATAGAGTAAGTGGCCATAGTGCTTTATTCACGGACACGGACTTGTTGTTGGCAATCGAACCCACTCTTGATATGTAATCCAGATCAAGATCGAATTTCTACGAGCACATAGGGTTATCTAGTCTATGATGAATGACCCACGTGGAGAATGTGCATCATCTTCGAGATCAGTGGACCAATCTCACAGATCTTAGATATCCTAGGATGAGCCCATACATGGCCCATGTCATTCTTTTCCGTGTAATGCCCAGCATCCCCAAAGGAAAAGCAAAGCAGCAGTATAGATTATGATGGACCTGAATTGATGTAGGATCACAAGAATTGAATGAAACTTTTCACTATAAGGCTAAAGTTTACATACCTCAGTACACCCTAGGACATCAAAAGATGAACCGACGGGAGACTGGGCAGGTAGAGATGTATTAAGTAACAGGATAGATATATTCGAGACGGAAAAGCCAGGGGAAAAACCAAGCGCTCCGGCACGGGGAATAAATAACGAAATAACGAGGCAAAGCCGAATAACACAGCTGCCGTGGGTAATTGTAGCGCGAGGATCGAGAGATGGGATCACAAGGAATGTGGTGGTTGCGGACAAAGAACGCTCAAAGGAGTGAGAAACAACAGCATGTCGAGTCTATGATGTCGAAAAGGAGAGTGAAGGGCAGCCGAAGTTCACCCGAAAAGACAGAAAAATTGGAAATCTGCAACCAAAGAGAAGAAAGAAAAAACGCGATCGTGACCTTCGCCAACCCTGTCCATAGCGCCTGAAAATTGCGTGATGATCGTACAGAAAAAAGAGATTTTTACACTTCGACTAATGCGAAACGTCGCAGACTGCATTTATGGTTCGAATTCAGCCGAGGCTTAGAAGTTCGATGCAGCGTTGACGGGACCAGGGTTGTGGTACTGGTCGAGTGTGCTCTTGAAGGGGGTACCCTGGGTACCGGCGGCGGGGCTGGGAACCTTCTCGCGGGGACCGGATCCAACAGCAGTGCCGCCCATCAGGTCATCATCTTCCTCGTTGTACTGTCCGTTGCGCTTCTTCTGAATACGCCAGATGACGATAGCCAAAACACCGATGACAATGGCACCGCCGACACCCACGACAACACCGATGATGATCTTCTTGTCAGAATCGGAGACACCGGAGCTGGAGTTGCTGCTGTTATCACCACTGAGCGAGGGGGATGTGGCCGCGGCGGGGGTAGAAGTGGAGGTCATGACATGGGGCACGGTGCTACCGCTAACCGTTTGGTAGGAAGTGATGGTCTCGACGACGGGAGTCTGGGTGGTGGACGCGGCGTCAGATGTAGAGGAACTATCCTCACTTGAGGTCTTGGTAGGTTCATTGTTCTTAGATGAAGTAGTCTTTGAGGTGTTGTCTGCGGTGTTCTCAGCTGAGGTGGTGGATTTGGACGAAGAAGAGGAAGAAGTGGTTGGGTCGGCGGAGGTAGTGGTTGGCTGTTCGGAAGATGATGAGGAAGAAGAAGAAGAAGAAGAAGTGGAGGAGGAGGAAGAGCTGCTGGTAGTTGGGTCGGCGGAGGTAGCAGGTTCGGATGATGAACTGGAGTCACTGGTGACAGAATTGACGAGGTCGGTGACTGCAACAGACTGAGCCGCAACGGCAGTCAGGAGAAGGGCGTGAGCCAGGAACGAGAGTCGAGCGAGACGCATGATGGGATGTAGGTTATTCTCGAGATGAGAAAGGAAACGATCGTGGAGGGGATGATGTCGAAAACGAGAGTCGGAGATGAAGGGAAGGAAGGGTCGAGAGTCAGCGGGAGTCGAGAGAGAAAGGGAGAAAGCAAGTGGGAAACACTCAATGTTCAAGGCTAAACCCAATGAGGAATGAATGGGGGCTTGGAGGACCCACTTGGTCCAATTTGGTCCAATTTGGTCCATTTTAAGAGGCTGCTCGACTAGTCTACTGTCTCCTAGTTTCACCCGTTGTCTCCCTTGGCCACGCAGTCACCTTTTGGGCCATTTTAGGCCACCACCGTTACCAGCTAGGGTTACAAGAGCTTTGCTATTTTCAACAACCTGCAGTGTACTCTGTACCCTGCACTTTGTAGATCCTGCAAAACACAGCATCCAACCACTCATGACGGAGTAAGAGACCTTACTTCCATGCACATACTACGAGTACTACAAGTACTACTAGTACTCCCATTTTTTGGCGCCAATCGATCGGCTCCACTGAACCATATTTAGCACCTCGACTGCTGGATTGATTGTGCATCACATCCTTTTGTCGATCTTGGCCCATATTGGCGCCAACTCCGCGCCGAAAGAATACAGACGCAGAAAGTACAGAGTACCATTCTCTTGCCTCTTGATTTGCCTCGAGGGGGATTTCGGAGCAACCCCTCGACTCGAAAATTTCCTTGCTGTCAGCCGACTGAACCGGGCCTTCGGTGACTAGCCCTAACTGGGTCACTGTGGCGTGCCTGGATTTCTGGATATTTTTTGTGGTGCTGACGGAGCAGCTCTGACGTCGGCCCGAATCTCCACCGCCGCGTTGGCTTGACCCAGCCTGTCCATTTGATTGGATTTGTTTTGTGCCAATCTACTAGTCTGGAGGTCCGGTACACAGGACGGAGTACTAGTTAACTATAATGAATCCATGCATAACTAACCACGGATACGCTCTGCAATCTTCCGTTCGGTGCCGGAGAACGCCCGCGGGCCCCGGTTCCTCTGGCCAGGTACGGGGTACTGCCTGAACCACTCCCGGAGCTTCTGTTTACAATATTCTCCAAATATTCACCTGGCTTCCAAGGTTTCTTTGAGCAGATAAGGTGCCTAGGTACTCTTCGCGTGCGACGCTCTATAGCCGCACTCGGCCCAGTGTTTCGGCCAGAAGTAGTCTACATAGATATAAAGGGCATTTACAACTTGGCACTACCCTACCCACTGGCATTTACTACATACTCAATACCATGAATTGTTAGGATTAAGCAAGTGTATACTACTACCTAGGTAGGTGCTAGCAGAATAGTCTCGCTGAAGGGTTGGCAGATATTTCTAGGGAACACTAGTAGTTTTGGGACGCTGCCGCCCTGACAGACACACTGGGCTGATTGTGGCTATGAACTGCCGCACTCACGGAAGACTGAAATTGAATTCTATTCTAGCCCAAGGTACGGAGTACTGGTCCTCTAGAGCCTGGATATGATTCGTCCGATATGCGCTCTTATAAGAGCCAATCCGGACACATTCCCCTTTTTCATGCCTTTGGCACTGGGCAGCTCTCCAATATTTAGGTACGAAGTAGTAACTTAATATTTAGCCAAGTCTACGAGTATCGATTTTCATTTCAACTCCCAGTCGCACGGGTCAACAGCACAGCACAGTCCAGGAAAAGGTGTGTGGAACATGACGTCTTGATTTTGAGAGACCATCCATTTTATGGCGGAGACAATGCGTCCCATTTCGACAGCTCAGAAAAAAAAAAAAAGCAGAGGGGCCAAAAAAGCAAAACCAAGAAAAAAGAAATGAAAAAGAAATGAAAAGAGGGCAAAAAAGATAAAGCAAAAAGAAATTCCAATTATGGGTTATGTTGGGTATCATCCGGTCAGAGCTGAAAACACAATGCAAAAACGCCAGCGATCTCTTGAATCACAGCTTGTTGGGCGGTTTGCCCTTCATCTGGTCTTTGATCTCTTCCTTGAAATAGTTGACGAACTTCTTCAAGCCAAGACCTGCAAATCACGAGGTCAGCATCTCATCGGAATCTCTTGGGACCACATTTGGGGGGCTCCCTACCTTGATCACTCTCGAGCGAGGTGCGCGACGGTTCCGGAGGGATACCATGGCGAACTTGCTGCACGCGCTGATGGACCTTGCCAACCATCTGGTGGAAAATAGGACTTCGCAAGAGCTGGAGTCGATATCAAATTAGTATACGGATCTGCGACCAGCAGAGACATCGAACCTACTCTGGCAGTCATCCAGATCTACGGAGTACCCGGGTCAGCGATCATCTATCGACGAAGGGCTTAAGAAGGTATTATGGAATGTGCACTCACCTCCAGCTGCCGCACAAAGAGGAAATATACCATGGTGAATCTTCTTGGGCTCGTAGAACGAGAGGCAAAAGTGCTCGGCTCAGCATTCGCGGATTTGGCCAGGCGGAGTTGCATTCTTAGTAAGCCCCGCACTGATGACTGATTTGTCTGCGGAGGCTCGCCGCCGCCATTTTGACTCCGCCAATTTCTCCATATTATCAACTGCAGTGCCCGTTCAGCAATGACTGCGTGAACCGTTGAAATTATTCGACAATATATGACCGCGATGGCGAGTCAAACAGCTCCGCAGTCGCCAGCCTCGTTTATACTCCCCTTGAGAATTCCAGATCCCCTCCGCCGATCATGACAAAAGGTTGCTATACCTGTCGCCGCCGTCGCATCATTTGCGATAATGGTCAGCCGACTTGCAGGAAGTGCCGAGATGCAGGTAAAGAATGTTTGGGCTACCAAAAGCCTTTGGTCTGGGTCAAAGGTGGTGTTGCCAGTCGTGGCAAAATGATGGGCCGTTCCTTTGACGATGTGAACAAGTCCGACGGCGATGCGAAATCCCCACCTGCCTCCGAATCCAATGATACTGCACCTCAAAATACCCCTGGCTTCAACTTCTTCTCCATCGCGAAGTCTTCGCCCGAGAATGACTCATCCAGCTGCGGGACTCAGTCGAGTCCGGAAGCCGACGCCTGGACCCAAGACACACTAGATACTGTTATATTTGGACCAGCAAAAGAAGATGCACTGCTTGGGTTGGACCTTCCGGGGCAGGGTGATACTGCACTGGTACAAGTTCCTCACGGAAGCTCAACAGAGGACGTTCCAGCACCGTGGGGGCTGGTCGACCCGCTATTCAAAGACATGTCACGACTTTCACGATTTTATCTGCACCACTATAATCAATGCATGGCGGGAGACTTCGTTGTCTACGCCGGATCGAATAACCCGTGGCGAAATATTATAAATTTGGTCGGAGACTCGCCGCTTCTAGGGCTAGCTCTATCTTCAATGGGAGCTCTCCATTTCTCACTCGCAACGAACTCGGAAGCGGCCACAATGCCCTGGTCAAAGCAGAGCCTGCTAATGGCAGACACGCAATTGACCCCCGAGGACATTGAAAACTTCATTTCCCCAACA